CTGGACCCTGAACATGCTCCCCAGTATTGCACAAACAGTGAGCATCTTCCTTCAATTTCTTTCTGATTTTTCTACTATTATATTGCCATTTTTTGATTCAAAAAGTGCACATTACCTCAGTTGAAAATATGCCATGTACTCTGAAAATGGTCCCCAACATTGTCATCAACAATACATATTGTCCCCCATTTGTTCCTGATTTGTCTTCTGTTTTTATTGCTATTTTTCCTTTCAAAAAATGTTTGACAACATCATCAAACCATCAAATCTTATGGGAAGAAAGGCAAGATTCAGTGTTAGAAGTACTGAAAAAATCCTTGAGATCAGAGAGTAACAAACTAGTGTCTTTATAAACTCAGAGGACTCATAACATCATTGCTAACAATGAGCACCATATTCCAACTTTCTCTGATTTTCATGTTATTTTCTGGCAATTGTTGAATAAATTTCCATATAAGGAAATGCACCTGGGACCCTTGAAACAGTCCTAACATCAACATCAACAGTTAGCACCATTCTTCAATTGTTTTCCATTTTTTCTGCCATTTAATTGCTATTTTTCAGTTGGACAAATGCTGAGTACCATATATGGAAATTTACCAGAGACCCTGAGAGTGTTTTCAAATGTTGTCACCAACAGTGAGCACCATCAGCCATTTTCATCTAATTTTTGTGCCAATTTATTGCTACTTCTTCATTTGAAAAAGCTTGCATTAGCTTGATTTTGTGCAAACATATATCTATTTGTGCACATAGCTTTTATTACATAATATACATAAAAACAAACTGTATTTTTCTTCATATTTTATTTCATTTATTTTAGATTTTATGTTGGTGAGCTTCAGATTCTTCTTTGAAAAAGTATTTTTATTTGGACTTTGACCTTATTACATAATATATCTCAATGAATTGTATACAGGTATGATCCCTGAAATTTTCCATTTTTTCTGCATTTTATTTCATCTGAATTGGACTTGATTTGGTAAAGTTACACATTTTTCTTTAGGCAACGCTTGGAACTCAAGAAGCGATGACGCACAAACATTTCCTGATCCCCAGTCAAAAATGACTCGGGTTATTCCGAGGTAGATCTGATTGCCTAGAATTGAAGCAATGTAAGGTGTCGTTTTATCGACAGAATTCTATACAAATAGATTTGAGTTCGATCCAATTCGATATTACACGATGTAAGCCATGTACGCAGTGTAGGGACTGTCATGGATACACCCGGGTATTAACCATACCCGATCCACAGATTTTCCCACCCACAGATCAGATAAGGCACATTACGGATATATCCGTGGGTAAAACGGCCTGAGTGGCTGAGGACGTAGCTTCAGTTATATAAATGAGTGTATCTTGTTCATTTCTTGTCTGTTCTTTACAAAAAAAAATTGTGTTATGAAGCGAAAATTCAGAAGAATTCATATTAAAACAAAAGTCATTCATATATGATCTAGATTGAGTACAGTAAAACTAAAGTTATTTATATATCATAATCTGAGGTCTTTCCCTTTATATAATGCTGCTGTAACTGAGCCTTGATCACAGAGTGTGTTTTGGGGTGTGTATTAGCATGCCTTGGCCATCTTGAGAGTATTTATTTTCAGTTTCAGAGAAATGCCTTTGAGAACAATTGATATTTATGTAGAGGTATTGAAAGAACAATTTTGGTGACATAAAGTGTTACAAAAAGAAATCATTGTCCATCTTTTTTTCAATCATTTGCATAACTTTATTGAAGCCTGGGTAGAGGGGGGATTTAATCCAGGATCTGAGAGCCATTTCCGCTCTGAATGTTGAGAGTAA